TACTCTCAAAATTAACTCACTACGTAGTTGCCACTCTACGAATGAACATTGATGCAATCCACCTATGGACTGACTCCTGAGATGGATAAAATCTCACCCATCCAAGTGGAAGGAATTTGTAAGCAACAGAGTGTCATCTATTCAAGATCTTACACCCAATAATGCCCAGTGGAGATTCGTTCCTGGAATATCAAATCCAGCAGCTGTGCATCAAGAGGCATCGCGTCATTCCATCTTCAAGAACACCCTCTTTGGTGGAATGGACCACAATGGATTTCAAATACTAAGAATTGGCCACGCCAGCCTACTCTGGATGACACTCAGTGCCAACAGGAGGCAAGACCTTGCACAACATTCACCGCAACTACCTTCAAGCTACAACATGCATTGAAGTTAATTTATATGCGTTCAAGGATTGAGAAAATAATAAGAATCACAGCTGTCTGCATCTCATTTATGGAACGACTGAAGAAGGCTCGACTACAATCACCCTACATTCAAACGAACATTGAAGCCAGAGAAGCAGCAAGAATTTATTGAGTAAGGGAAACTCAAGCTATGTACTTTCAGAACGAGCTACGAATAATGCTAAACAACAATCACTTACCAAAATCACACGCACTTAGTCGACTAACACCGTATGTCGATAATCAAGGAGTAATCAAAGTCGGTGGTAGACTCAACAAATCATCAATTGCACAAGAGCAAAAGCACCCAGCCATTCTCCCACGATCATCTCGTCTAACAACCCTTATTATCGATGATGCTCACCAACGGACCCTCCATGGAGGCACACAGATCACGTTGGCGTATATTCGACAGCAATATTGGGTCATTGGTGGAAGACATCCAATACGATCTCGTATCTTGCATTGTGCCATCTGTGCTCGACAAAGGGGAATTCGTGCAAAACAATTAATGGGACAGCTACCAACCTCAAGAGTAACTCCATCAAGACCATTCACCAACACTGGCGTGGATTATGCTGGACCAGTAACCATGAAGACAAAAAGGGGGCGAGGGGCGAAGACCTACAAGGCCTGGATCTGTCACTTCGTATGCTTTGCTACGTCAG